GCGGGTGAGCCCCCTGCCGGCGGGAGGCGCGGGCTGCGGCGGCGCCACTGCCGTCCCCGGCTCCTGATATTCCCCTGCTTCCCACCGGGATCCTGCCGAGAGCAGGGCCGGGGAGAAGGTAGAGCTTTCTGGGCCGGTGGTATGTGACTCTACGCCGCTGCTATTCATTCCATAGCCAAACAGACCTGACACACCTATAATTAGAGGCCATGTCCCAGCCTTGGCGTCTGAGCAGCCCTGCTGCTGCACCGGCCTTTAGTCTGGATGTTCCCTTGTACATCTGTTTGTGTTGGAGTGGGAAAGGAAAAGGGAGAATCTGTGATGCTCTCTGCAATCCTGTTGCTACCACAAACTTCATGACCTGGCATTGTGATAGTGGTTAAACTGAGAGCATTTTTAGTGATGCAGAAAAGGTCAGGGCTGGAGATCTGTCCAGATAAAGTGCCCAAGAGTGAGTTGTTCCTTCACTTGGAGAATTGCTTGCAGTTTGTGAACAACTTGTTTTAAAAAGAACTGTTGGGCGCTGATATGGAAATTCTGACTGCTTGACTTGTTCTGTGTTTAACTTGGGAACTGCTTTGTTGCCCTCGTGCCCATGTGCCTGGTGTGATGCAGCAGCTGTAGCCGAGTGATGCACGAGAGGCCAAATGGTTGTGGAACATGGTAGTGGAAGCCACTGACATGTAGAACTGTGGTGGAGCTGGGCAGTGTACAGGAAGTGGCCTGGGATTTGTGTGTGAGCAGTGAAAGGAGGCAGGAGCTTGTGTTTTACTCTGGACTCCTGGGTTTGCTTAGGTGAGCTTTGGTCAACAGGTGTTGTCCCCTCAAAGCTTTCTTCCAGAGAGTCTTTCCTCAATGCACTGGCACCCTGCTGGGCGCCTCGGGAGGAAACAGCATCTGTCTATTTGAGTAACCTGGTGGTCTAACATGCCTGTGCTTCCTCCCCTGAGCAGTTTGCAGGGGAGAAGCCCTCTCTGAAGGGGGCAGTGATCACACTAGCAGGGTCAGGGCTGTGCTTTTCCCTGCTGTGTTCCCATGAGGCAGTGGCTCCCGGGAGTGCAAGTGCCTGCTGTCCGTAGGTGGCACGGCAGCTGCAAAGGGCCGGCAGGAGGGGGAGAAGCCACCGCAGTGGAGCAGGAGCTTCCAGCAACTTTTAAACACCTCATGGTTGCTGCTGAAGGAGGCTGTGGCTGTGCTGCTGGCCCTGGGGAAGGGCCTCCCTGCTTTCCTTGGCTGGGGTAGCGCTCACTATGCTGAAGGATCTCGCTCCAGCTGATGGAGGAACAGAAGGGGAGGAGGATGCAAGCAGAGATGCCAGTGTTAAATCCAAGTGTTCTTAATGCAGGAACATAAAGTTGGATCCTTTCAGCCTGTTTGCTGAGCGACTTGGCATGACATTTTGACAGTGATCAATAGCAAAAACACACAAGCTCCCGCTCTGCTCGCGATGGAGGCTTGAACCAAACTAGCCAGGCACAGCTCTTGGAGCAGTGTAAAAATAGACTTCTTCCCCCACCCCATCCTGTTACACTTTAAGCTGTGAGCTGGATGCTGGAGCCTCCTCTTTGCTGCTGCGAGAAAGACCAGGCGTGTAACATTTGCCGTATGATTTTCCCCAGGCAAGGCAGAGACCACAGCCTCTGCTAATGAGTCCCTGGGATTTGTTCCTGCTGTGAAGGTACTGAGCTGCCGTGGATGCCCGCAGCCCCAGGGCGGTGGAGCCCGTCCTTTGGACGGGGCTGCCGGCTCTCCATGGCATTGCAGGAGCTTGCGTGGACTGTGCTAAGATGGGCAATCAGCCAGCTCTGCTGCTGTTGAGCATATATGCAGGCGGCCAGCTCTGTCTGTTTGGGAGCTCAGAGGTGAAACAGAGCAGTCTCTTTTTTAGATGGCTGCTCTGGCAAGGCTGGCTTGGATTGAGATTCGCCCCCATGTTTTCCCGTTCCCAAGGAGGAGCCAGAACGTGGCGAACAAATCTGTGTGAAGAGAAACCAGCTCCTGCTCTCGCTCTCAGACTGTTTTTCACACCTGATCTGCAGCTTCTCTGACCCAGACACCTGGAATCGGGGTGACTTCTCTGCTTTTCTGCTCCTTCCAGGATCTAAAAGAGAAGAAGGAAGTTGTTGAAGAAACAGAAAATGGCAGAGATGCACCAGCCAACGGCAACGCTGTGAGTATTGCTGCAATCTGCTGAGAGAGGCAGAGTCTGTACACCAATACCTTTTTGTTTTCCTCTCTTCTTGCTTTTCCTGCAAGTTTGTTCCTAGCACTGTTTAGAGGGGACCCCTGCAAATGGCAGCCCTGAGCCCTGCAGAGCCCTCCAGCCTTGGTGTTTCACGATACGCAGACACTCCCAGCTTGTGGGCTGTTCAAGTTGTGCAGAAGAGAAAGGCTGGGCTTGGATTCCCTCCCTGACAGCCGTGTGAGGCTGTCCAGTACCACCTCTTCCCTAGGCAGGGATAAAGAGGAAAAAAAAATTAAAAATCCACTAGGATGTACAACGTTACAACCAGTTGAGCTGGGAAATACATCATGTACAAGTAAACTGGTTGGTTTCCTCTTTTAACATGCTGGGGGAAAATCACTGTGCCACATTTCGATGTGTCATGAGAGCCATTGCAAGCTTTGTCTCAAAGCTGCAGCCCCAAGTTACTGTGGGCTTGATCCTTTGTGCCTGGGTTGTGTGGAGGCAGGCAGGAAGCGGGATATGCACCCAGGGCTTCGGTGGGCTGGTGCTTTGCTTTCAACAGGAAAGGTGGGAATGTGCACTTGTGCTGAATGTCTCTTCCACCTTCTCCCTTCCCAGTGCATTTTTTTAAGTGATGTTTTGTCTTGCCAAGGAGAACGAGGAAAATGGAGAGCAGGAGGCTGACAACGAAGTAGACGAAGAGGAAGAGGAAGGTGGTGAAGAAGAGGATGAGGAGGAAGAGGGTGATGGTAACTTTGTTTGTTCCCCCCCATCCCCCAGTGGTGTCCTGTTCTGGACAGCAGGCTCCCGGGAAGCAGAGGCGAGCAGAGAGAGCAGCATCTCCCCCTCGTGGCTGCGGGCAGAGAGCTCCCACCAGACAGGCTTGCTCCTTCCTTGCTTGCCCGAGCCACCGCTGCTGGGAGTGAAGTCAGCCTTGAATCCCTTCCAGCAGGTTGAGGGCAGATTCCTTCCTCCCTCCCTCCCTCTGGCCAGACAGCACCGTACCGCGGCGCTGAATAAGCGCATTAGCCCTTCCGTGCGAGTAGTAAAATCTGCCCTTGACTCCTGTGAGCACAGCCACTGCTGCAGACACCAGCACTGGCCAGTGGGACAGGGACAGCCCTGGGTGGCCATGCCTTGGCCCAGGCACAGAGGGCATGTCACCATCCTTGTTCATAGAGCAGCGTGCTGAGAGGCTCACGCAGCCCTCTTTCCCAGGCTGGATGTTGTGTGGAGACAACCAGAGGAACCTGCGGCTGTTACCTGCTCCTCCAGCTGGAGTAGATGGGCTTGCTTTGAGCCTTCTATGGCTGCAGTGTCCCTGCCCTCTGCTGCTTCCTGACCTGACCCAGCCTGGAAGTGGGTTTTGGCAGCAGTGACTTGCCAAATCACTTCTCACTCTCCCTGCTATTATTTTTTTCCCAAGAACTGCTTGGATGAATAACATTGTTTATTTTTATCCTTGTTAAGGCAGGGAGAAAACCTTTCTTGTTATGCTGAGATGAACTTGGGGCCTCTGATTATCTCTTACTAGGTTAATCCCCTGTGAATTTTTGGTTTACGTGCTGACCTACTAACCTGATGGCTAGTTTTGGGAGATGGGGACAGGGCTGAAAATTTAATGACCATTAAACCCGTGCATATTCAGAGAGTGTGAGCTGGGAAAGCCACCTCCTTTGGGGTAGCACTCTCTCAGCAGCCTGCTGTGCCCTTCAGTAGGAATTAGTTTACTAGGAAAAGCTGGGAATTGTGACCCTCTTTAACTTGTGGTTTTAACCCCTGGGGGCAGGTGCAGCACTGCTATGTGCTCTCCTGAGCCCGTTTACCCCCAGCCCTACTTTAGGCTGGATGAGATGGGGAATACTTGGCTCTCCCTGCTCCTCTTGGGCAGGAGCAGGGAGGATGCGTGTGCTGCAGGCGCATATGTGGGGTGGAAGTGTTGCTTGGATACTGCTGTGACAAACCCGGGGAGCTTTGGTCCCGCAGTGCCAGCCCTGCTCTTCCCAGCTCACCGAGCACAGGCATGATTTGGCACGCGGTGCCTGGAGACGCCGATGCCTTGCAGGGATCCAGCATGGGCTCTGACCGCTGGCACGGGCTCTGTCCGTGCCTGCTGCCCTCGGGCGATCCCTGCCTGAGAGCTGCACCTGAGCACTGCAGGAGAGAGATTTAAAGGCAGCAAGTCCAGCTTGCATCAGCTTTTTTAGCCAAGACTTGCAGCCAAACTCCCGGGGCTTGACAGCAGAGGAGAGCTTGAGGGTATATTCTCCTCTTGCATCTCTCCATCCCATCTCATTATTTGCTTTGCTTAAAGCAGCTCAAAGAACTAAAAATGCTCCCAATCAGCTTGGTCCTGTCACCTGACCTGCCGGCCAGCCCCAGTGCATGTGATGGCTGCCGGGGTGTTGATCCATCGCTGGGAGCTAATCTTGGCCCTTCCCGCCGATGGGCCACACTGCAGCTGGGCACACGTCGGGAGGGGCGGGGGGAGGATGGGCTGACCTTAATCCCCCCGGCTGTCCATACGTGTGGCTCGTGGCGGTGGTTTAAAGCCAGCTTACTGGCCTTAACTCTCTAAGTTTTAGTAGGGTCTCCTGTTACACAAGAGACTTGTCTGGATAGCTGAGAAGCTGTTCTGCCTCTGGGCTTGCCCCTGAGTCTCCAAAACTGGCCGAAGGTGATTGACTCAGTCGTTCTGATCCACTGGCCTATTTGAGCTCAAAGTGGGTCAAAGCCCAGAGCTCACTGCTCATCCTCCTGGCTGGCTGTAAGATAAGTTGGAAGCATTTGTTTGCTGTTCTGATAATTAGAAAGTGTTCTGACTCAGAACTAATGCGTTCTGGCTCTCTTAACTCATTAAAGATGGACTAATAGCTGCAAAGGGAAGCAGAAGTAATCTGGAGTGGTTAGGCAGAGCAGCCACTAGAAAGAGTTTTTTCCTCTCTCTTTTTCTCCCCCCCCCCATTTTTGCCATGATTTCGGCACTTGAGGCAGGTGGGGGTTTTGCCATCCCACTGTCTGTGTTACAAATGCAGTGTGAACCAGACTTGAGGCTGCCAATCCTTATTTTCCCATTGGTGGGTCAGGTCAGTTGGATGCCCAGAAAGCCACCATGTCCTCTGTCACCTGTTGTCCTGAAGAGGCTGTGTGCTACCTGGGGAGATGGGGACATGGCATTGCAGCATGGGGATGAGACAGTATTAAACCCACAGGGGGAGGTGTGGGGTACTGGAGCTCTCCCAGAGGGTCTCACATTTCCTCCCTTTGTACTCCAGGTGAGGAAGAGGACGGTGATGACGACGACGAAGCTGAGGGAGCCACAGGCAAACGGGCAGCTGAGGATGATGAGGTAGGAAGAGTAGGCACCCCCTCAGAGCCACACATGCTCCCAGAAGGCTTGGGGGGAGAGGGAGGGTGTCAGTGGGGCCACAGGGGCTGGGCTGGTCTTAGCCCTGGGCCTGGGATGCTCTGCCTGTGTGCTCCCCATGTCTCTCCAGGGACACAGCCCAGTTCTGTTTATATGCTGGCCTGGTTAGCGGGGGTGTCTGCTCCCGCCCAGTGGAGCTCTGGCCCTGGGCTGGGGAGCCCTGAAATGCTCAGGGCAGGGCCTGGGTGAGGGCACTCAGGGGGCTCCCTGAGAAGAGAGGATTTTGCCTGAGGGGAGAGAAACATCTGGCCTTGACCCTGAGGTGGGAGAGGGACCCGAAAACTCCCCTGCCTCACTCCCTGCCCTGGGGTGGCTCTTGCCTGCCCCCAGCAGGCCCCAGTCCCCATCTCCTTTCCTGACAGCTTTGCTTTCCCCCCAGGATGATGACGTCGATCCCAAGAAGCAGAAAACTGATGAAGATGACTAGGCAGCAAATTATTATTATTTTTTTTTTTTAAATAAGGAGGAAAACAAACCAACAAAAAAGGCCAGCGCATCCTCTTCACCCTTGGGTCCCCCCTTGGGACTCCCGTTGCAGCCCCCTTTCCCACACACACCCCCTTCCTCCCCCCTCCGCCGTGGTCATCCTCACCAAGTAGAGTGAACCCCGTCCCCGCCCCCCGGCGCGGCGCTGCCACTCAACGAACATGGAAATGATTCGCCCGTTAGCGGGGAGAGAAAAACCCCCCCTT